TCCAACAGTGGTGCTACCTACCTCTCAATGGTGGGATGGCACTACTTTAAAGGACTCTTACACAGACGAATTCCTTAGGGTAGGTAGGTTCTCAAGGATACTTGCTCTAATCTCAAAACAAACTCAAAAAGACTTTTCACACTGACCCATTTTCAAAAGCTTTCAAAGCAAACTTTTCAAACACTCTTGAGGACTGATACAAGAGTCGAACTGGAATTTTCAAAGAAACTTTTTAAACCCACATTGAAAAGCACACAAAACAATTTTTGAAAACACATTGAGCAAGTATCTAAGAGCCCATGGATAACCATGGATAGAAAGGGTGCTAACACCTTCCCTTTCTATAACCTACCTCCCGAACCGAGAGCTAATCTCTTTAAAGGAATTTTTCTGTGCTTTTGTCCTTTCCATTTGGAGAAAATAAAAGACGGTGGCGACTCTTGCTTCCGCGACATTTCGCGAACCAGCGTTAAACAGTCAGTTCCAGATCCACCGATCACAGAAAGACTCCAACCTTGACAAAAAGAAAATGAGGAATCAACTTAAGAGTCATGACAAACCTAGGAAAGCGTATGTGGCTTGGGGAAGTGACAATGAAACCTCAAGTGATGAAGAATCTAATGATGATGATGATTTAGCAAATGTGTGTCTTTCGACTCACCCTAATGATAGAAAAATAAGGGACACAAACCTTCCAAGTATGATGAAGTGTGCCTCTCAGGTCAATATCATGAAGATAAGGAGAAAGAAATAATAGCTTCTACTAGTAATAACATTCATCATCCTAATCATCATCAAAAAGGTAAGAATAACAAGGTAAAATCTTCTCAAAATAATTTTGTAAATGGAATGTCTCATCTTGATTTACTTGACACCTTTTAAAATGTACATAAGGGAGCTATTGAATATTTTAAAAAGGTTGGCTTCAAATAGAAAAATCATTTCTCATTTAGAAGCACAAATTTTAGAAATTGAAAATAAAATGGAAGATCTAAAGAACTCTATTGTAGGTATTCATAAGGTTAAAAATAAGATGGATGACAATCCATTTAACTTTGGTTGTGATACATGTTACATTTGAAAAAACAAGGTCAATACTCTTAAAGCTAAATTTACAAAGGCTCAACAACCAAAGGTTAATTTTTTATAGATCCAACAAAGCTTAACAAATCTTTAAATCCTCCATATGCAAAATACAACTTTGTTGAAAAGAAAGAGAGAAGCAAAATTAACACCTTTCGAAACATAACTTGTTACTACTGTCATATGAAAGGACATACCATTGCAAAATGCAAACTTAAGAAACTTTCAGTATCTAATGTCATTTCTCAATGGTTACCTATCTGCGATAATTATGGTACTCACCCACAAGGACCTAACAAGGATTGGGTACCTAGTTTATCTTGTTGAAAATTGCAGGAAAATTGTCTTGATTCTATGAAGAAGATATAGAGATTCATGAGTAGGTACCTCAAGACAATTAGAAGGTGACATGCTCATATCTGATTGACTTAGTGGAAAAATGATTGGATGGTTATAGAAAAATATCAATAAGTAACTCCTTGATAAAAGATCTTGAATCAATGAGAAGGTGAAAGTGGTGAAACTTGGTTTTACTTGTTCATATCTTACTTAGCAGTGGTTGATGCTCATGTTCTTGACTTTTATGTGAAATGCTTGTGTTTTGCTCCGCATTGTCGGTGAGATTCTATTGTTTCATTTATCTCTTCTTCTAAGATTACGATAGCTCTTTTGTCTATCTATGTGTAAAAGATATGTAAAATACACGTTGAATGCCTTTTGATCCTATGTTCACTTCCAAAAAATTTAATTGAATCTGTGATTATTTTAATTTACATGATTATAGTGACTTTGGATAAATTGTGCAAGTTATGTGTGGTTATCTTATTTTAATATATGTGCACTTCTATGTTTAGATTGCATAACTCTAAGAAATATTGTATACATATACATACATTATATCATTATATGTACATGAATCATAATGCACATCCAAAAGGTTAAAACAATTTTCTTTTGGTCATTTGGTAGTTGTAAGTCAGTATAGGTCAGCACATAAAGTCTATGTGTCAACACATAAACTAAACACTTTAAAATTGTTCAAATTATTTTAGTATGTATTGACACGAAACTCGTGTAGGTCGACACATAAAATAATTTTTTGCACTATTTTACAAATATTCCAATACAGGTCCACATATAAGATGAATGTGTCGACACGTAATCTAGTTAGGTCGACACGTGTCTGCGGATTGGCTTGAAATCTCACTCTTTTTATCTTTCATTTTCTTCTACGGCTCTTTTGTATTCTAAACCTAAACATAACTGTATCTTAAATCATCTTAATTTCATTCAAATTTTCTTCTTTCTCATAAATTCTGCCATAAACACTATTCCACAAAATTAATTATTGTTCATCTCCTTCAAAATTCCAATTTAATTGTCATTCAAGGTTCACTATATTCAAGGTACATTCATCCATTGCATCTTTCATTCATAATAGTATAAATCAAATGTTTATTTGTTGATTTTGTGTATCTATCCTCATCATAACATCACTTTCATTTGTGAAAATTGTATTTCTCTCTAAAAATCTAACTGTTCTGGTTGGGAATTTTGTCAAACACCTTGCAGGAAAGCTTGACATTGTGAAAGTGCTCATGGATCCTAAAATTGTAAGAGGTAAAGGCGCTGGAAGAGGCAAAGGGAAGGTTGGCTCTTCATCAAATGCTTCTGAAAAATGTGTTTAGTCTGGTTAGTGAAGAGAACATGGAAATCTTTGATGAGAAGTGTTGTGGGAGGATTGTTTCCAAGCAACACTACTACAAAGTGCATATAGTTGAAGAACTTCATATCCATGAGGTTATGAGCAGGCTAGATCATCAAGGAATAAACTACTTCATGCAGCTAACTTAATAATACAATGAAGATTTGATTGCATCTTTATGTAAGGTTACGTAAGAGAGACAATTTTGAATTCATCCTTTGAGATTGGAGGTGAAATTCACACCTTTACAAATGATATGTGGTGAACTCTTTTTGGTTTCACAACAGGTAATGAACCAAAGGTTAGGGACTCAAGCGTTCATCTTTTTTTCAAGTGGAGAATGCACTTTAATGAACAATTGAAAGCTCTACATAATGACAACAATAATGAACCAATTACTACGGGGTGCCTCAAGATATTTCCTCGAATATTACACTGGGTTGTCACTCATAATTTGCATCCTAAGAGTGGAGGGTTCTCAAGGGTCGATAATTCTGAAATTCTCCTAGCATATCTGCTTCTCAATCAGATTAAGATAAGTTGGCCTTACTACTTTGATGCTCACATATTCACCATCAAGAAGTGTAACAAAGGGACTTCTTTTAGCTATCCATCCTTGATAGCTAAAATTCTAAATTTCTTAAATATAGGCTTCCCAAATCTTCATGTGGTCTACCCAAGTGCAGTGTTGGAATTCTCCAAAAGAACCATGACTAATATGATATACCATTGAGATTCAGAAAAAGAAACATACAACTATCATGTTCTTCAAATAAAGCAAAGAATTTACAATTATGATGATCCTGCTGAATATTATGATGTTGTAGGGTGATCAAGGGAATAATGATGGCCCTGAAGACATAAGTGGTGCTCCTCATAGAGACATTCCCATGGATGATGAAAATCGTGAGGAAGATGAAATTTGGATGAATGCAACTGCTGTTAAACAACATGATTATGAGGAACTTTGGCAACAAAACTCTTGGAATGAGCAGGTGTAATAACTGGTAAAAAATATAGAGTCGCCACCATTAATTTTTATCCTAAGACGGGAATATAATAGAATAACCCTAATTGATGATACATAGATTCTAAGTTCTTGACTCACTTTATACGAAGAAAAGGTGTTAGGAACCCTTCATCTACCTTGTTCACAAGGATACTAGGGTTTAGGTTTAAGATTTAGGAATAGGGTTTTAATTTTTTTAGTTAAGGGAACTCGCCACGATTTTTAAGTCGTATGCCTACGTATTCTATTATGAGGAATCAACGTCCTAATTCATAGTTGTAGTTGGTTTATGTTTTTATAGGATTGCATAGAATTGCTTTCGAATTATCCTTGAACATTGCCTGGGTTGTAAGTTGAGTGATCGTAGACGCAGTTCACAGTTAATTTGAAAGTAATTCTCCTTAATACTTTTTCGAAAATATCTTATAGTTTTATTAAGTTAGTAAAAAATGATTTGATGTTCGTTAGCTGTTTTGATGTTCGATTGATCGAGTATGGTATGGCATAGAGTGGGGGAGTCTAATAAAGTCTCTTCATAATATGACCAGATATTGGTTGTGTGTCGCTCGTCATGAAGGATACAGAGGGAATGTGATAAATTCTTCTTCATCATGTGGTCAGATATTAGCCATGTGTCGCTCGCGGATAGTGAATTTGGAGAGTTGCATGGATTTTAATATCTTTATAGAATATTGAATTAATTACTTGAGAAAAATTTATATGTATTTTTGTTAATTAAAAAAATATTGAATAACCCAATAAGTAAAATTACCTAACTTAAAATAAATTAATCTAAATGGTCAAATGTAATAAACCTAACTAAAATAGCTAAGATCTAAAATGATTATAACATTTAAAATGTATAATATTAAATAATTATAAATAAAAATAAAACAATTAATAAAAACTAAAATAGAATAAAATACAAAATGTTAGTGTGGCAAATAATAAAAGAAAATAATAGAAGACATAGGGTCTTCACTTCCATCATTCACGTTTAACAAACTTAAAAAAAAAACAATAATGAAACTCCAAAAAAAAACCCAAATTTGCTACTGAGTCAAAATAGCCATACAATTAACCACTTTCTCCTCAAATTGAAGCAAGTAATTTATTTATTCCAAATTAAAGAGAAAGAAACAATAAATAAACAAATCTTGGAAACAAATAAATAAAAAACATATCATCATTATTAAAGACATATCAAAAGCATATGTACCTTCCTCTTTCTCCAACGCAAACACACGACTTTTCTTTACATCTGGAAAACTCTTTTCTTTCTATCTTATTCAACACAAAGCATTCCTTATCTGCTAGCTTGGAGATCGACGACGGTGCTACCTGAAGGCGGTGGTCAGAAAGAAGATCGTTGGGGCGATCGATGGTTATTGCGGCGCCAGGTGGAGGAAGATCGGACTGACACATCACGAATCTGGCGCAAACGGCAGTGATGAGGGTGACGGACGGCATGGGTCGAGGTGCGCGGTTGGGTGTGGAGCCGCGGAGTGAGCTTATCACTGTGGTGGTCGTCGCTGATGTTGGTTGAACATGGTGATTGTCAGCGTGGCTTCGACGGGTACGCAGAAGGAAGCTGGCGGTGGAGGAGGCGACTTTGATGTTGCTCAAATTTGTTTAGCTTCTTTCGCATTCTTCAATAAAGCTCGACCTGTTTTAATCTTGTTAGATTGTTCCTATGAAATGTGTTGGAAATAAGACCTTTTCTGTTAAGGAGAAATGTGTGGGAATATTGAAGGTTTGAATATAAATTTGATAAGTAGGATAATTCTTTACAGAGGAGAAGAACTTTGTATTTTTGCTTGATACAAATGTGTGGAATTACATCTCTATTTATAGTACTCTAACGATAACTCTATACGCATAATTCTAGAGAGTTCTTAACTCTAGAGATCCAAAGACTATTCTAGAAAATATTATAATTATAAGAAATATCTAGAGATTCCAAATATTATAAGAATTCTCTAGAAAACTATTTAAGCCCAAAATAACTAAGTCCAAAAACCAATTAATAAATTTAGGCCCAAATCAAGTTTAATATTTTCAACATCCCCCTTAAACTTGATTTGTGACTCCAAGCATATCCCTTAGCTTCACGAAAGTTTCCAACTTTAGTGGCTTGGTGAAAATGTCGGCAGCTTGATCTTGAGACATTACATACTTCAACTTCACCTCTTTTTTCTCAATGCATTCTCTTATGAAGTGGTAACGGGTGTCGATGTGCTTACTTCTTTCATGAAAGAGTGGATTCTTTGCCAAAGCAATTGGTGATTTATTATCAACACATATTTCCATTGGATCTTCTTGTGGCATTTTTAACTCTTTCAACAAGTTTCTTAGCCAAATTGCATGACAAACGCATGATGTGGCGGCGACATACTCGACTTCACAAGTTGATATTGTGATTATTGGTTGCTTCTTTGAGATCCAAGTGAAAGCAGTATCTCCCATAAAGAACACATAAGCAGTAGTACTCTTCCTATCATCTAAGTCTCCACTCCAATCGCTATCACTATAGCCAACAATCTCATAATTATTAGAAGAGTAATAGTGCAAGCCAAAGTTAGTTTACTTTTAATGTATCTAAGGATTCTCTTTACCTCCTTGAAGTGAGTTGTTGTTGGAGCTTCCATGTATCGGCTTACAACTCCTACAACATAGAGAATATCTGGCCTTGTACTTGTTAAGTAACGTAGACTTCCAACCAAACTTTTGTAAAGAGTTGGATCTGCATTCTCCCCGTTTTCATGCTTGCTTAACTTGTTACCACATTCCATCGGGGTGCCAACTGGATTGGCATCATTCATCTTGAACTTCTTAATGACTTCTTTGGCATAGCCTTCTTGGGTGATGAAAATTCATTTGTCTTCTTGCTTTACTTTGATGCCAAGATAATATGCCATGAACCCCATATTTGTCATCTCAAATTCATTTGACATGTCTTTCTTGAACTCTTCGAACATGCTTGGATTGTTACCTGTGAAAATTAAGTCATTTACATACAAGCACATAATTAAAATATCTCCACTTTACGCTTTGATATAAAGTGCATGCTCATATGGGCACTTGATGAAGTTCTTGTCTTGAAAGTACTTGTCGATTCGAACATTCCAAGCTCTTGGTGCTTGCTTGAGACCGTACAGTGCCTTCTTCAACTTCAAGACTTTTTCTTCTTGCCCTTTTACTTCATAGCCTAGTGGTTGCTCGATATAAACTTCTTCTTCGAGAAAACCATTCAAGAAGGTTGATTTCACATCCATTTGATAGATCTTCCATTCATTTTGGGCTGCCAAGAAAATGATCAGTCTAATAGTTTCAAGACGAGCAACAGGAGCAAATACCTCATCATAGTCAATTCCTTGTCTTTGACTATAGCCTTTCGCCACCAATCTTGCTTTGTATCTCTCCACATCTCCTTTTGCATTCTTCTTTGCCTTGTACACCCATCTTACTCCAATTTCTTTATGTCCTTGTGGAAGTGTAGTAAGTTCCCATGTATCATTCTTCGTGATAGACTTGATTTCTTCGTCCATGGCGTCTCTCCACTTTATGTTTTCTACCGCTTCTTGATATCTTAGAGGCTCACAATCACCAAAAAGACAAAAGAGGTTAATGTCGTTTTGTTTTTCGATTACCTCATAAAGCTCTTCAATGCTCCTTAGTCGTGGTGTCTTCTCACTTGAACTTGTTTCATCCAACCTTGGTGTCGGTGAGGAAGGTGGTGTAATATGTTCCTCTATCATTGGTTGTTCCATTTCTTCTTCTTCTTCTTCTTCTTCTTCAAAGTAAGGAAGAAAATCATACTTGTCTTCTTGAGCACTCCAATCCCAATAATCTTTTTCGTCAAACTCCACATCACAACTTATGATGATCTTTCCACTATTTGGATTATAAAGCTTGTATCCTTTAGAGCTTGAGTCATAACCCACAAACACATACTTCTCACTTTTATCATCGAGCTTTGTTCTTCTTTCATCTGGAACATGGGTATAAGCAATGCTTCCAAATACTTTGAGGTGAGAGATCCCAGATTTCCTTCCAATCCATGCTTCTTGGGGTATCTTTTCATGCACGCTTCTTGTTGGGGAACGATTTGTCAAGTAAACTGCACATGCCACTGCTTCGGCCCAAAACTCCTTCGACATCTTCTTGCTCTTAAGCATGCTTCGTACCATGTTAAGTATAGTCCGATTCTTTCTCTTTGCTATTCCATTTTGTTGAGGCAATCTTGGCACAGTCAGTGGGCGATGAATTCCATGGTCTTCATAATTATTGAACTCATTTGAAGTGAACTCTCCTCCTCGGTCAGATCTCATGGCCTTGATGGAAATACCACTTTCTTTCTCCATAAGGGCTTTGAACTTCTTAAAATTGTCAAATACTTTTGACTTCTCCTTCAAGAAATAAACCCATATTTTTCTGGAATAATCATCAATAAAGAGGAGAAAATATTTATTCTTACCAAACGAGTTGGGCTTGATTGGTCTATAGACATCCGTGTGTATGATCTCTAGTGACTTTGTCGCTCTTGACATTGATTCCTTTGGAAAACATTTTTGGAATTGCTTCCCAATTAGACATCCTTCACAGAGTTGGTCTGGGTGGTTGATCCTAGGCAAGCCTCTCACCATTTCTTTCTTCGACAAACGTTCTAAACCATCGAAGTTGAGGTGCCCGAATCGTAGATGCCATAGCCATGAAGAATCGGTATAGCAAGCCTTGAGACACTTTGCTACGTCATTTTTAATGTTCAAGAGGAACATTCTATTTTTTGACATAGGCACCTTAGCAATCAAGTTATGACTACAATCTCTTAAGAAAAGACTATGTTCTTTTAAGTGGATGTCATAGCTTTTCTCTAATAATTGTCCCAAACTCAAAATATTATTCTTCATGTTAGGCACATAATAGACATTTGATATGAATTGATGACTCCCATTCTTCAAGCGTATGAGAATTTTACCTTTGCCTTTGACCGGTATCTTTGAGTCATCTCCAAATGATACATCATCAGTTGCCGCTTCATTGATCTCTACGAACATGCTTCGATCGCCACACATGTGGTTGCTTGCGCCAGTGTCCAAGTTCCACTTATTTCTTTTCTCTTCAACTTCATTTTGACACGCGAGTAGAAAAGTTTCTTCTTCTCCACCTTTTTCTTCTACAAAATTAGCTTTCTCTTCCACCTTCTTCGAGAATCTACACTCGGTTGCGTAATGACCAATCTTGTTGCAGTTGAAACATTTAACTTGTGATTTATTTCTCCTCGACCATGAGGTTCCTCTTCCACGACCTCTTGTTGCTTGTGGATTCCAACTTCTTTCTCCATTATTGAAGTTGTTGGAGTAGTTATTTCAACCGACTCTTCCTTCTCCTCCATGTCCTCGTCCACGTCCACGATATTGGCCACGACCTCGTCCTCTTTGGCTCTTGTAATTCGCATAGTTTGCTTCCTTTATGTTGAGTTGTAGTAATTTCTCCATAGTCTCCTTTTGTTTAATTTTTCTCTTTTGTTTTTCTTCGTATGCTTGTAAGGAACCCATGAGTTGCTCAATAGTCATGGTCTTTAGATCCTTATTTTCTTCAATGTTGGTAACAATGAAGTCAAAACTTTGATTTAAAGTGCGAAGTATTCTCCATGACTTTCACATCATCAACATCTTCACCATTTCTCTTAAGTTGATTGACTATATCCAATACTCGAGAAAAATAATCTGAAATTGACTCGAACTTCTCCATAAATAAACGTTCAAAGTCACCTCTAAGAGTTTGAAGACGAATCTTTTTTACCTGCTCAACTCCTTTGTTGCAAGTTTGAAGCTTGTCCCATGCTTCTTTGGTCATTGTTGCGTTGGATATCTTCTCAAACGTATCTTCATCCACCGATTGATAAATGAGAAAGAGAGCTTTCTTGTCTCTCTTTCTTGACTCCTTCAATATCTCTCTTACACCTTTGCTTAGCGAGGATTCATCTTGATCCTTGAAGCCTTTCTCAACAATATCCCACACATCTTGAGCTCCTAGTAGCTCCTTCATCTTGATACTCCAATTATCATAGTTGTTCTTTGTGAGCATCGGAATTTGGAAAGGGAAACCACCATTCTCCATTTTGTGGATCTTGAAGCTCTGATACCACTTTGTTGGAAATAAGACCTTTTATGTTAAGGAGAAGTGTGTGGAAATATTGAAGGTTTGAATATAAATTTGATAAGTAGGATAATTTTTTATGGAGGAGAAGAACTTTGTATTTTTGCTTGATACAAATGTGTGGGATTACATCTCTATTTATAGTACTCTAAGGATAACTCTAGACACATTAATTCTAGAGAGTTCTCAACTCTAGAGATTCAAAGACTATTCTAGAAAATATTACAATTATAAGAAATATCTAGAGATTCCAAATATTATAAGAATTCTCTAGAAAACTACTTAAGCCCAAAATAACTAAGCCCAAA